TCTGAGGCGAGATGATCACAATCGACGAAAGCCCGCCACGGAAGCCCCGAATCCGAGCCAGCTCCGAACCAGCCCCTGTTCCTGTACTTCGCCGTGCCCGAAGCAAGCGTGCCAATCCTGACAACGAGGCCCATATGTATGAAACATGTTGTGAAGAGGAGGAGGAGGAGGAGGAGGAGGAGGAGGAGGAGGAGGAGGTGGTGGTGGTGGTGGTGGTGGGTGTGTGTGTGTGGGCCTAAACCCCTATATATATAACCCTATATAAACCCTTAAACCTTGCAAACACCCTATATATAAAATATATACACACCTTATTTTAATACCCTCGATCTCTCTCTCTCTCTCTATATATATATATAGATTTATATATATATATATATATATATATACCCTATATAACCCTATATATATGTGTATATAAATCCTAAACCTTATAAACCCTATAAATGTATATGTATATATACATATATAAACCCTATACATAGACCGTATATATATATAATATTTATATATATATATATAGCCCTATATAACCCAAGACCCTAAACCATATGAACATTATATAACCCTTTGCTGTCAGGAGACACAGATCCTGCCGGAACCGCTCTCCGAGCCCGAGTCCAGGACACCGCTGGAGCGCCGTCCTCCCAATGCAACTTGGATACGTACATATGTGCATTGCACAGAATGCATTTTACTTTTCAAGCTTCGTACCAAATCCATGTCGAAATGAGGTTTCAGGGGAGCTTGTGACGGCCCAGGAGCAGAATGCATTGAGATCCCTTCGCCGACCGGCAAAGCGTGGTCCAGGGAGGAAGAAGAAATGCAAGGCGTCGCCAAAGAAGGCGGCCAGAGCAAAAGCGAAGGCAAAGGCGGTTTCCGAGGCAAGCGCAGTTGCCAAGAGCATGAAAGGTTCTGCCAAGACGAAGGCAAAGGCTAAGGCTAAGGCAAAGGCTAAGGCCTTGCCCAAGGCCACAGCCAAAGCCAAAGCCAAGGCCAAGGCCAAGGCTAAATCGATGCCAGCTCCAGCCGGCACGGATTCCCACGTGGTTGCAAAGGGACGTGGGCGTGGCCGAGGACGGGGCGGAAGACCCGCTGTGGATGCAGCACCTCCTGCTGCTGAGGTCCCGACAAAGGGCCGTGGCCGTGGTGGTCGTGGACTTGTGAGGCAAGCGCCCGTGACTGCTGCTGAGCTGGGGATCACTGATCGTGAGCTCGGCTGCCCAAGATGCAGATGGTCCAAGTCTGGTTGCATCACCTGTCGAGATCCTACGTACGTCTACAGAGGGGCCCGAGGCCGACCGAGAGCTGAGAAGACAACGGAGGATTGATTTGTGTCACCGAAGATTTTCCATTTTAGCAGCCTGAAATGGAACAGGTTACGTGTCATGTGCAAGCAGGGAGAGCCTTGTGCACACAGGGGAAATTAGTGGCCCAGGTAGTCCCCACAAACCTGAAACATCATACCCTTCCAGCTAAATGTGCTTCTATATGGGTCTGCAATGGTTGTTTGTTGTGTGGGGCAAACCTGTGCTCTTGGGTCGTATATTACATGTGTGCGACCTACGCGAAGCAGCTGCCGGCAAAGGGGTTCTTGGAAACATGCTGCTGTGTTGTGCGATGCACTACCACTACCTTCGGCTGCAAGTTTTCTTTATGTAAAGTAAGACCAGTCGGTCCTGCCTCGAGGTACATCGTGCACCATCGATGAGCTTGGCGTGGAGGCGTCGGCAGCCGGGAGCCTTGAAACGTGCATCCCCCTCTGCAATCTGCTGCTGCTTGCAATCTTTTTTTGACAGTTGCTGTGTCGCTTGTGCAACGATTCGCAACATGCTACATGAGTTGTGGCTGCTTCAGCTGCAAACAATTCTGATAGTGTACCCGTGGCTTCCCCCAGCCATGGGGCAGAATTCCCGGGCACGATCCGTGTTGAAGAGCCTGGTGCGTGTGTCGGCGCCCGGGGTGCCATGATGCAATATATAACGACCTGAACACATGCCCCGCAAGAAATCCTTTCAAATTCGACGCTGATCCCAGGTGTTGATCCTGTGTCTTCTCCTGCTTCTACAGACAGAGGGCCTCCGCCTGGAGGAGGCAGCGCTGCTTGCAGCAGTCGAAGATAGCGAAGTTCCAGTTTCGCCTGGGGTGTATAGGGTTTAGGGTTTTTAGGGGTTTATAATGGGTTTAGGGTTATAGGGTTTAGGGTGGTTTAGGGTTTAGGGTTTAGGGTTTATAGGGTTTAGGGTTTAGGGTTTATATAGGGTTTAGGGTTTATAAGGTTTATATAGGGTTTTTAAGGTTTAGGGTTGAGATTTCACGCAATCAGGTGCTGGATGGATGTGAGATATGTGCTGGCACCGGCATGCTACATCGAGTCCTACAGCTGCATAACCTGAATGTCCCAGGGATGGACATCACATATTGGAGTGAACACGTGCCTTCGCGCCCTACAACGAACAATCCGCTAGACCTCCTGAAAAGTGCTGGATTCGTGCAACTTGTCTGTATATGAGCGGATGCTTTTAGTATACTGTGCATGTGTTGTATACACATCTTCGTCGCTCTGAGGCTGGTCTTACTCCAGGCTCTGAAAGCCAAGCCGGCTTCAACGTTCCACTTCGGACTTGTCTGTTCCGGCTGGGTGTCGGTCTGCATGGCATCCAGTGGTCGCACATTCCTAAATCCTCACGGCTACACTGATGTAAGTTGGGTCATCGACGGGAACTGCATGGTCGCAAGGCAGTGTGTTAATGTCAACACTTGCATCGGATCAGTTTCAGCAGATTTAAGTGCCTCCGCCCTATACCCTGGAGGTTTGTGCTGATAGCATGGCTATTGATGGCTCGCGGCTGTCATTGGTGCCTCGAACAACCTGCCAGTTCATTAATGTACAGGCACAAGCGGTTTCAAGAACTTTGCCGGGCCGTGATGGTGCCTTGGTGCTGTTTTGACGATCGATCTAAGTTCACCACATGGACCCTCCCAAAAAAACAACACCCAACATAGAAACCCCGAATGTCCCGCAGTTGCCTAAAAAATATAAGACCCTAAGACACCTTTGAAACCTATTTCAAGTGCTTATGGGGGGGGTGTCCAATACTTTAAGGTTTGTTTGGCCTTGCTCCTTAGTGGGTGGGTGGGGGTGGAGGGGGGTGAGGGGGTGAGGGGGTGAGGGGGGAGGGGGGTGAGGGGGTGAGGGGGTGAGGGGGTGAGGGGGTGAGGGGGTGAGGGGTGAGGGGGGTGAGGGGGTGAGGGGGGTGACGGGGGGAAGGGGGGAAGGGAAGGAAGGGGGGGAGGGAAGGGGGGGAGGGAAGGGGGGAAAGGGGGGGGGGGAGGGGGAGGGGAGGGAGGGGAAGAGGATGAGTTGAGGGGGAGGGGTGAAAAAGGTTGGGGCTTTTTAAAACGTGGGGGCCCTCGCCTCGCTGCTGGTAACCCAAAACACAAATCCCCTGAGGTTTATCGCCAAGCCTTCTGGCTTGGGAAGTTGGGGGCGAAAACGCCCAAACGATTGATCCTTTGGTCTTCGTCGTCTGCAATCTTGGATTTCCGCAGATATGCTCGACTTAGCAAGGCTGAAAGAGAGAAGTGCCGTGGGGATCTAGTTCATCGCTACCGAGACAAGTCTGGACGGCTTCGTTACACTGGAAACAAGAAGTTAAAAACATCTCAGTGATGTGTCAGCATTTATACAGTTGTGTTGCCTTCAACGTGCATGTTGTGAGCTGCAAACACAGCACATCTAAGGCGATATCCCTTTGGCTTTGCAATGCGATTTGCGAAGCTTTGGCCTGCTTTCCGAGCATCGAAGATCCAATGGAGGCACCAGCCGCAGCAGGCGGGCGTTTGGAGTAAAGGGTGCCTGAGGTCAGGGGTGTGCGGTGTGCGTTTGTGTGTGTGTGTGTGTGTCTCTGTGTGTGTCCCTGCGTGTGTCTCTGTGTGTGTCTCTGTGTGTGTGTGTGTCTCTGTGTGGGTGCGTGGGTGTGTGGGTGTGTCTCTGTGTGGGTGTGCGGGTGTGTAGGTGTGTGTCTGTGTGCGTGTCCCTGTGTGTGTCTCTCTATGTGTGTGTGTGTGTGTCTATGTGTGTGTGTGTCTCTGTGTGGGTGGGTAGGTGTGTGTGGGTGTGCGGGGGTGTGGGGGTGTGGGGGTGTGGGGGTGTGGGGGGTGTGGGGGTGTGGGGGTGTGGGGGTGTGGGGGTGTGGGGGTGTGGGGGTGTGGGGGTGTGGGGGTGTGGGGGTGTGGGTGTGGATGTGTGTCGCAATGTGTCGCATGTGCCGCAATGTGTCACAATGTTTGCTTCGGAGGTTGCCGACGACTTCAATTTCTCGCACGCAAAAGAAGTGATCTATGACAAAGTCCCCAAAGATGTGTGGAGGGATGCCCGGATGGGAGAAGTCCTAGAGTATTTGTATGCCAACAAGAGGCTGCGTCTCAGTGATGATCAGAAAGCACTGGTCCGGCAGCTGGCGCAGGACTTTGCGTGACCGACGGTCGACAGAATCTGAGATCGGTTCCAAAAATGCTGAGGCTTACATAGAGTCGGGATTGCATGCAGGGGGTTTATACAGTTGTGAGTTCTGGAGTGGAGCGACGGCTATCAAATTTGGATGGGTTTCGAGGCAAGTTGTGTTTCAGGTCGGCTGGATATTCCTCTTGTGTCTTTTTCCGGACAGTTGCGGGATTTTCGGGCTTTGCTTGTGCTGTTGCTTGGTCTTTTTGCGGGGTTTTGGGTTTACTGCGGGTTTGTGTGCAGTTAATCTATACCTGTTGCGGGTTTTCTGGGCCACCAGGTGTGTTTTGCCTGCGTGTTACAACGCAAGTGCGGGGTTTTTCGCGTTTTACAGGGTGCGAACGCGTTTTTTGTGAAAACCCGCAGTGCCGTAAAAAAGCGTAAAGTGCCATAAAAAAGCATAAAAGTGCCATAAAAAAGCGTAAATCCCGTTGTGCCCTTTCTGACACCACTATGTGCAGCAATTTTGCATCACTAAGTGTTGACAAGAGCCATGACAAAGGGGAAACCTTTGCGCCTTTGCACTCGGTCACACAGCTGTGCGACCCTATACGCCGGGCAATCCTTCATGGAGGCTAAGTACATCAAACAAGAACCAGAGAACATCGAAGAAGATCTGCGAGTAACTTTGCTGCACTGAATTGATATCAAGCTATACATCCACAAAAGCCAACACTACTTGAAGGATCGGGATGCTTACCCTAAAACCCTACACCCTATATATAAACCCTGAACCTTAAACCCTAAAGAAACCCTAAACCCTAAATAGGCTATATAAAAAAGTGTGTATATATATATATACATATTTACATATATATATATATATATATCACACTTTCTTTAAATAATATATATATATATATGTGTATATGTATATGTATATGTATATATGTATATATGTATGCATATATGGAAATATGCTTGGGATATAACTGCAGTTAAATACTTGGGTTACTAGGTACCCTAACCTCCAAGTATAGAGTTCCCCTATAACAGCCGAGGCAGCGGAGGATGTGCTTGCCAAGCTCCGGCAAAAGGCCCGCCGATTGGAGTCCCCTGCAGCAAAGCCAGACAGTCCTGGCATGGCTGCGGCGGTTGCACCAACACCCCGACCTTTGCCAACCCCGGCACGTGCAGTGCCCTCGCCCCTTCCAGAGTGTGCTGTGGCCCCAACTGCTGCCCCCACAGTTCGTGGTCTGTCAAGTGATGCACAACCAGGCTCGCAACAGATTTGGGAAGCAGCTTTCCCAGCTGGAAGCGAGCCTCGTGAGGGCGGCGGGGGTCGGGATTCTTCAGCTGCACCTGGCAGTGTGGAGGCAGATCGTGCTGGGGGACCCACCACGAAGTCAGGACTTGAGGCGCCCGAGGCTCCCAGAACCGATATTCCGAGGGTCCCCGTTCCTGAGCCCGCTTGTGAAGACTCCGATGATGAGTTGATTATGGATGTGGACTTTGTGTCTAGACAGCACATCATCTGGAACCATCTACAACCCTGAGTTTCGGGCTAGAACCGACATTAAGTAGCCCTATCTACCCTGCAGTGTCTTTGCATCCCAGGACTTCGAGGAACTTCGTGCGATGCTGCAATCCCGACTGGAAGTGAAGGCCGAGTCGCCGACCACCACGACAGCAGCTCATCTTCATTAAGTGAGCCAGCTCACTCTTTCAAGTGTGTCCACAGAACAATCGCCTATTGCACAGATGATTGCAGGTGCCTGATGAAGCTGTGGATGGCATCCATGATGTGTATTGGGAGCGTGTACCGCTTGATGAGACCATGCAAGACTCTTTGGCCCCAACACTATCAAGCTCCCCACTTCCCCGAAGGTTGTTCCACAGCCCACCTGTGCGCTCCCCTGCTGAGAAGAAGGCAACCCACACCCCACCGAAGTCCCGCACCAAAGCCCTGAGCCCCACGGATTCCCCTCTGAAGACGAAGCCTGGGGATCGAGAGAAAGGATCCCCCCCTGAGTCTTCAAACCGAAGGCACTCCAGGAGCCCCAGTGTGAGGAGAACCCTCTTCGAGCCTTCCAGGAGGGATCGGTGCTCTCGCAGCAGAAGGCGCCGAAACCGCAGCAGATCCCCGAAGAAGTCTAGCAGCAGGAGGCCTCGGAGCCACAGCAGATCCCCAAAGAAGTCTGGCAGCTCAAAGCATCGGAGCCACAGCAGATCCCAAAAGAAGTCTCGCAGCTCAAAGCATCGGAGCCGGAGTGTGTCACCTAGTGTCTCGAGACGCGGTGTGTCCCCCCAGAAGGAAAAGCCTCGAACACCCAGCACACCGTCCAAGTCCAAGAAGGGCCCCAGACACGGATCCCCGAACATGCCTTCCGACAGAAAGCCTGGGAAGCACGATGAATCCCCTGATGAGTCTGCCACCCCTTCCACAACCTCAAAGACAAAGAAGAAGAAAGCCAAGGTACTCCTGCACTCAAAGGGTTTAGGATTTATGATGTTAGGGTGTATAAGATATAAGGGTTTAGGGTTATACATAAGGTTGAATGTGTATCCTACCGAACTTCCATCCCTGCAGGACATGAGGTCCAACACGATCCGCATCACCTCCCGGGAGTACAAAAACTATGAAGCCACGTTGCGCCGCATGTGCAACAGATCGGCCAAGCGCGGTACCTTGCAGGTAAGTGATGACGTGGCTGAGAGATGGAAGAACACCAAGTCGAGGAAGCAACTTATCGTGGCACTCATCAATTGCCAAGGGGACAAAGTTTCTCTACAGCACATACGAAAACATGTGCATGGTGTTGATCTTGCTTTCGTTTGCATGCACACACAAGCAGTGCAAGCATCTCAGGACGCTTTCAATCAGAGGATGGAGGTGGTTATCCGCAACATCAAGGAGGGCAAAGTGGTCATCGATAGTGGCTACTATTCTGAGGCTGCCATGAAAAACGAGTTGGGGTTCGACAAGCAACTCTCCAAAACTTATTGTTCCGATCTCTTCATTACAGACATGACGTAATGCTTGCCGAGCGTTCCTGCACCGACCCAGGGATCGGATCAAGGCAGTCATCCAGTACTGCACGTGCACCAGAGCCCGCCGCCGAGCTCTCACAAGGCCTGTCCAGATCAGACTAATTTAGGCGCTTCGAGGCTTGAACCCTATAGCGCTTTCTAAACCTATAAACCCTAAACCCTTTTAAACCCTAAACCCTAAACCCTACACAAACCCTAAACCTTAAACCCTATATATTATAAACCTAGACCCTATAAACCCTCAGTTAACTCTATATGTATATACATCCTAAACCACCCTAAACCCTATATATAAACTCTAAACCCAAACCTAAACCGAGTGGATTTTTTTTACCAGGAGAGACAAGTATCAGCGGCACATCGTTGAGTATTGGATCGACACCAAGACCTCCGGTTCTTTGTCGAAGACACACAAGGAGGAATTCAACCAGTATGTGGAGATCATCGATGCCGATGTGTCGCTTCCGCCGCCAATGCTGGGCAATGAGGCCTTGCCCTGCTATGATGAAGATGAGGAGGAGGAGGAGGAGGATTGGGATGGTGATGTTGAGGCGGGTGATGGAAAGGGTGCAAGCGCGACCCCCAAAAGCAGGAGGAGGAGGAGAGCAAAGACCCCGACCCCCAAGTCCAAGCTAGGTAGCAAGAGGAGGCGTCAACAGGAAGAGGAGGTGGAAACCGCTTTGGAGGCCGGATCGATGTTTTGCTGAGCAGACAATTTACCAAGTATCTTTCCCTAAACCCTATAAACCCTAAACCCTATAAACCCTAAACCCTAAACCTTTTTAGAAGTTCCTTCACATTGCATTGCTTCAGGACATCGAGAAGATACCGCAAATCCAATCCGAGATCCTGAAGATTCGCATCAGGATTGATGGCACCCTGGACAAAATGAAAGGCAAAGATGAAGACACGAAGAAGTTCTCTATCAGCATTAAACCCTAAACCCTATATAAACCTTACAAACCCTAAACCCTAAACCCTAAACCCCAAACCCTAAACCCTAAACCCTAAACCCTAAACCCTAAACCCTATTTATAAACTCTAAACCCTCAACCCTAAACCCTAAACCCTAAACCCTCTACCCTTTACCCTTTACAAACCCTAAACGCACTATCCAAGGAAGGGGGAGAAGCTGAATGCCCATGCTGAGGAGTTGATGAACCTCCACGATTGCCTCACCGAAATCAAAGCCGAGAACACAAATGGGAAACCCTCTGAAAAGTCCCTGAACTGAAAACTGTGCACCATATCTACAAGTCGCAGAAGTGTATAATGTTTTTTAGCTGAGGACGATGGTGAAGCTCAGAGAGCACCTGGCTTCGGTGGAAAAGCTGTGCCCTGGAAAGAATCCCACGCAAGCCTTGTGTGTCTCCTCGCCGGACGTGTAGCGCATGCCTCATGTCCCAGGACGAGTCGCATCACAATGGAGGAGAAGAAGCTGAAAAGGACCCCCTCTACCCCCCCCCCCCCTCCCCCTAAACCCAAACCCTAAACCCTAAACCCTATATATAAACCCTATATAAACCCTAAACCCTTGTAAACCTTATAAGCCCTAAACCCCCCCCCAACCCCCTTGAGATCGTTTTGAAACCTTGCATCTGCACAGAGTGGTTTCCTATTGTGTTGTATCGGAGGACAGTTCTTCGCCCGCAAGCGAAAGGGAAGGCCAAGGCGAAGGCAAGGGCCAGAAAGGACCGCACAGAAGGTGAAGATGACAGTGACGCCAGCGAGGCTAAGCCCAACCCAGCCCCTGTGACCAAGAAAGCCAAGGCCAAAGCAATCCCCAAGAAAGGAGGCAAGAAGCCTTCCAAGTAGGTGCTAGCCCTGCTGCACACACCAGCGTTTATCGCTGCGTTGGTTAGGTTTGTTGGAAAGAAATATAGATCTCTGGTTCTTAGGGTGTGGGTTGAAAATATCCACAGTGGGGCCAAGCTTTTCTTACCACACACGGAGAAGTCGTGGTGTGGTTGCATAGCTTGCTTTGCGTTCACACGTGCCAAGATCTGTTCCCGTGGGGCTTTACGAGCTGGGAGACAAAAAGGGTTGCGAACTCAAATTCGCAAGTAGCTTGAAAGCCATCCCCCAACCTTGGTGCTGCGCAGGTGCTCGAGATCGTGAAGATGACAAGCCACCGCCTGGTCGGGCGTCAAAGGCTTTGGCGAAAGCTCGTGGATCGGGGGTGCGGGTTTTGAAACAATCTGTTCAGATTTGGAGCTCCTGAATTCAAATCCACACTAAATCCCTGATATACAGACCCACAATATGGGATGTGTAAATCTTAAAATAGGATTAGTAGTACGGAAACCCAGCCTAAAGGTTTTTAAAAAGCGACCCCTTTCTCCAGAGATATAGCCCAAAAGAAACACCCCCCTGAAGGTTTCCGATCGGCTGCTATGCAGTATAGCTGCTGGATTCGTGGAGGAATGTCGTGAGGCCGACCCGGACCTAGCAGAGGACCTACGCAGCTCCAACCTACTTCGTGATTTGCACAGGAAATCAACAACGAAGCATGAAAATGCTAGCGCAGCAACTTTCGAGAGGGAAGGCTTATCTTGTCCAGTGCCCATCGAGAAGGTGAATGTTGGTTTTGACACAATGCATCCAGTGCTAAAGCTGAAGCAATTCCTTCAAGTTCTGGCTTCGAGTGGGAAACTACCGCTACTCTGGGGCTCCACCAGCCCAGGCACTCATGCTAGTGTGCTGCCAAAATTCTGGCGCCGCTGGAGATCGCACGATGCGTCCCACCAGGTCTTCGCTCATCACCGAGGCCGGCTGAGTACGGTATTGCCAATACAATTACATGCGGATGAAGGGCAAACGCTGAAAAAATCAGGTGTCATGATCGTGAATTGGCAATCTCCGCTTGGGTTTGGGATCTCCATGCAAGATGACACTCCCGAAGCCATGTCTCTGAACTATGTCGGTAATTCTTATGCAACAAGATTTTTGTATACTGTTTGTACCAAGAGAGCCTACGGCAAAAAGAAGAGCTATGTCCTGAAGGGTATTTTCGAGAACCTTGCTGATGAACTTGTGGATTTATTCTACAACGGCGTGTCTCTCAAGCTTGAGAATCAATCAGAGCAGACCTTCTACGTCGCCTTCATAGGCCTAAAAGGGGACTGGCCTATCCAGGCCAAGGTAGGCCAGTTGGTTCGACATTTTGCCAGGAAGGGCGTGTACAAACTCAGCGAGAAGAGTGGCTTTTGCCATCTTTGTAGGGCGGGGGAGCGTGGCTATGATCCGAACGAGTATGGCGAAGGAGCTGCTTGGAGGTCAACCTACCTCAAATTTCCTCCGTGGATTTCGGAGGGACCTTTGTGCAAGGTGCCACATTCTGCTGCGAAAGAATTTGGGCACAAATTCGATGTATTTCACACACTCCACAAAGGCTGTTTTGCCGAATTGGCCGCGAGTAGCATCGCCCCATGTCTCAATGTTTGCCAAAATAACGATGACCTTTTGTAGTTGACCCTAAACCCTGCATAAGCTTATAGCACCCTATATAACCCTATATAACCCTATATAGAGCCTATAATGTAGCTACGGATTCAAGTAAAGATCGAACAGGTTCTCATCACAGACTATGGCTTGGCGGGGCCTGGCGACTTTCAAACCCAATTGGATGCAATCTACCAGAAGGCAGTGGATCATTGCAAATCTATGGGTATCCCATTGCATATGGATGGCTTGACGCGACATCTCCTCAAGTTTCCTGGGGACTATGAGTACCCCAGTGGGTCGCTTGACTTTCGTGCATATGCTTTTGGTTTAAAGACTCTTGTTGGATTCTTTTTATGTTCATGTTTGAAACTTCGGGCTCCTGATGTTTCTAAGGAACTGGTTCAAGGGAGCCGACACCACAGCCTTGCTTTCTTTCTTGGAGACCTTCTGGGCAACTCACATTGCAACGCTTGAAGAACCGGACGAGTATTTGAACAGCATGCTTCTCGCTATTCGTTCCGCGAACACCTTCATGCGCACCCTGTACCGATCAGGACTTTTCCTTTCCATTGATAGATGCCACACGGTCGCTCAGGCTGGCTTGTGCTTCTTAAAGGCCTATCTTGAAACATCGCACACTGCGTATCTCCAACAGAAAACGCGGTTCAAGGTTACTCCAAAACTACACGCGATGGTGCATATTGTCGATACACTTGTTTCGGCGTCGAGGGAGAACAGGCGATGGACTGTCTCGCCCTTAGCAGAGGCGACACAGCTTGACGAGGACTTCGTGGGCCAAATTGCCTCCATCACTACTACAGTGAGCACTCGGGTCGTTCATGTGCAGACGCTCCGGAAGTACAAGACCAATGTGTGGACGCACCTCTTTGGCCAAGAATGAAGAAAAGGAGTGATTCAGTGCCTTTAACCGGCTCGAACATCCCCATACATAGCTTTAGGCAAGATCACGGAAGATTTCCTCAAAACCCTCAAAAATAAATCGGGCACTGGCCCGGATATCGCACTGTCACAAGCGCCTTTCGTCGGTCGCCCATTATTTCCGGCTACCGGGTTTTTAGGGTAAACCCTAAACCCTAAACCCTAAACCCTAAACCCTAAACCCTAAACCCTAAACCCTACCACCCTGAACCGAAAACCGAGCCCGCATCCCACTCTTCGCCAGGTGCTGTCTCGCATGTCGCTTGCTCAGCTCGTGACCTGGCCTGGGTACTTGTCGGAAACCCAGAGACTCCAATATCCCTTAATTAAGGAATATTCCTTAAATCATATTAGGGATCCTACTATAATTTAAGGTATATTCCTTAATCAAAGGATATTGGAGTCTTTGGGAACCACTTTACATTTTCTAAATCAGCGTTAGGGATCCTTTTTTTACTTTTTGGGTTATGGGCTTTCTTATATATGAACAAAAAGGATCCTTCTTTTCTTCCTGGGGGAACAGGGGTTCAGTTTTGTGAATGCTTAAACCCAAGAAGGAACAAAGATGGTCATTTCGAAATCGTACCCCAACAACAGTGAAGTGGCTGTTCTTCAGCACCTTGTTGAATCCACATGCGCGAGCCTCTAGCGAACCCTGAACAGAAAATGTCCAAGAAACCCAGCCTCCGCCCGAACCCTAAACCCTAAGCTCTAAACCCTGAACCCTTATAATTACAAACCCCCTAAGCCCTAAACCCTAAACCCTAAACCCTAAACCCTAACCCCACCTGAGGTATATGCAAGCATGCAGATCGTGCCCGACCGCGTGAAGCTGGCAATGGCCCACATTCGGTTGCAGCTCCCCCCGCCACAGCTTGTGGCAGAGCCTGCAGGCCCTTCGATTCTTCTGTAGGCACCCTATAGGGTTTAGGGTTTAGGGTTGAGGGTTGAGGGTTGAGGGTTTAGGGTTTAGGGTTTAGGGTTTAGGCGCCTCTTCGGCTTTCCCGTTAGCATAAGGCCTATGCGTTGGGGTTTAGTTTCTTGGTTGTGCATGGGCGTGTTGCAAAAGGCACTTTCATGCTGGCCTGCATGGGGAGCTAGACGTAGCGGAGCACCGTGTGTCTTCTGCTCAGAAACGGTGCAGAGTGACTGGAGAGAAACTGTTCGGCTTGGGGCTGTGGCTTAATTCCCTGAAACTGAAACAATAGCTCCCTGAGGAATCAGTGTTTGTATTTATATTTATATAATAAAACCCAAGGGAATATTCAACATATAGTTGTTGTTAAGGTTCTCGGGGGAGTATAGGGAAAAACCAGTAGGTCAATAAATTGGGATACAGCTCCCCTTTGGGGGCTTGAGGGTGTAGTGCCACAAGCGCAACCGGACGACTGCTCCCTGCTTCTCAAGGACGGGTTCTGTTCACGCACTACTTTGGGGGTTCTGGCGTACTTCTGGGGGGGGATTTTCACCCTACAAATGTGTAGGGTCTTTGGGGGGTGCCCTAAACCCTAAACCCTAAGCCCTAAACCCTAAACCCTAAACCCTAAACCCTGCCTAAACCCTAAACCCTAAACCGTAGATCCAAAGTCAAGATTCTGGTGCGTAGAGGCGTTCCTTGTCCATCTTGACATGCAGAGAGCGACGTGGAGATTTTCGCGCTCGGGTATTGTTTTTATTTTTCAATTTGTCGCTGCCTTCTGCCCATGCTTTCATCAGATGTGGGACATAAGAACTGAGCACCCCAAACCCTAAACCCTAAACCCTAAACCCTAAACCCTAAACCGTAGGACACCACCTCACCTACCTATAGCGCCTTCAGCCCGTGGGGGCTGAACGAATTCCAACCCAGAACCAGTAATCTGACAATTGCAGGGGTGTGGGTTTCATTCAGGGTTTAGGGTTTGGGGTTTACGATTCGGGTTTTAGGGTTTGGGGTTTAGGGTTTAGGGTTTAGGGTCGTGCTTTGCCAGACAACCCTAAACTGCCCTAAACCCTAGACCCTAGAAACCCTAAACCCTAAACCCTACAAGGGAGAAGGTCGTGAATGAGGCAGCTCGCGGAACCTCGCTTGCTGCTGCGAAATTGCCCCGCCCAAGCGGCGCACTGCAGCGCACATCTGGGTCGGCCCCTTCGAACCCTAAGCCCTAAGCCCTAAACCCTAAACCCTAAACCCTTAAGCCATTATAAACCCTAAACCCTAAACCCCAAGCCGGCTATTTTTCAGAGGGTGGAGAGAGCCAACCTGGACTCTGTCGGCGCTTTTTCCGCTCTACGTAGGGGCCCTTTTCGGCTGGCGCGCTTTGTCGCACCTAGACCCCTCCCTAAACCCTAAACCCTAAACCCTAAACCCTAAACCCTAAGTCCGCCTAAACCTTCAACCCTAAACCTTGCCCTATGCTTCCAGGGACCTAAGAATTAGGTTACTAGACCCCTTAAGGTCACAATATGTAGGTCCCTGGAGTAGAGGGCTAAAACCTAAACCCTGAACCCTGAACCCTGAACCCTAAACCCTAAACCTCGGGTTGAGAGGTTTAGGAGGTCAGGGTCTAGGGTCTTATTCGGATCCCTGAACACTGACCCTAAACCCGAAACCCTAAACACACTATAACCCTATAATCCTACAACCCTTTAACCCTATAACCCTTTACCCTAAACCCTAAACCCTAAACCTGAACCCCCCAGTGCAGACGAAGAGCTACCAAGTAGCAAAGCAAAAGATTGCCTTGGTAGCCCAGTGGTACCCTTTGCACCGTTTTTGGTTCGAGGCTCCCTTCGAAAGTAACCAACCCCCAAAGAGGGTGCCCAGGTGCGCTCATTGTAAGATGGTTATTGGGCTACCCCTAAACCCTAACCCCTAAACCCTAAACCCTAAACCCTAAACCCTAAACCCTAAATCATATTGTTGCTGGGCTACCAAATTTGCTGCAACGCCGAGAACTTTGTAACAATTTTTTTCGAAGCCATCCGAGGCATGGGGGCTTCCCAACGGCACTTTGGGCAAGTAGGGGGTTTGGGGTTTAGGGTTTAGGGTTTAGGGTTTAGGGTTTAGGGCCCTTACAGACTATCCCAGCGTATCCCCTTATGTTATCCAGACCCAGAAATGTCCCCAGAGACTCCCTGGGCTGCAGAGTATCCCCGGAGAATCCCTGGAGTACCCAGCTCCAAGATGATCACCAGACAGTCCTCGGAGTGCCCAAACCCAGAGTATGCCCAAGGAACCCCTGGAGCAACCCCAAAGTATTCTGGAGAGTCCACGGAGCGCCCAACCTTTAGAAAATCCCAGAGCGCCCCACTCCAGAGCATTTCCACAGTATGCCCAGAGAGTCACTGGAGTGCCCAAACCCTAAACCCTAAACCCTAAACCCTAAACCCTAAACCCTAAACCCTAAACCCCAGAGTATCCAGGATCCCTCGGGTGCCCAATCCCATCCCCAGGGAATCCCTGGAGTGCGGGCCCCCTCCGGAGTATCCCCACAGAATCCTGCACTGCCCATGGTTTAGGGTTTAGGGTTTAGGGTTTAGGGTTTAGGGTTTAGGGTTTAGGGTTTAGGGTTTAGGGTTTAATGTATATGGTGGATTCCCGGAGTGTCCCTGGCAGGCCCAACCCCAAAGTGAGCGCGCAACTTCCCTGTCTGCAGGGTTTGGATGTTCGAAGTAAAAGGGTTTTGATTCTAGGTTCCTTTACAAAGTAACCAGCCCCCAACAGGGTATGCTTATTACATCAAAACGTAAACCCCCAAAAGGGATAATCTGGTTGCTGGGCCCAGGGTAGAAAAGGGGTATATGAGGTGTCCCCTTACTAAGGGACCATGTCGCTACCCTAAGGTTAAAAGCCCTCGAACTGACCATCGGGGCCATTTGCCCACAGACTCCAAAACCCCTTAATTATAAGGAGTATACCTTAAATCATATTAGGGTTCCTAGTATAATTTAAGGTATATTCCTTAATTAAGGGGTTTTGGAGTCTCTGGGTGGCACAAAAGGAGGGGACCCGGGTTCGCGGGCAAGGCTGAGGATTTTAGGAGTTTGAGGGCTTCGGAGTTCAAAACCTTAGGAGTTCCGGAGCTTAGGAGTTTAGGAGGTTGGGGGTTTGAAGGTTTAGGGTTTAGGGTTTAGGGTTTAGGGTTTAGGGTTGAGGGGTGTAGGGGGTTAGGGGTTTAGGAGCTAGAGAAGTTGCCGTTTAGGGGTGTCGGAGTTTTTGGCCCACAGTGTCGGGAAGCATGGCTATCAGAGACACGTTGCTCCGGGAATTTTTTGACGAAGCGAGAGTTGCGGCGCAGCTTAGATGTCGAATTTGCAGGGCGTGGGCGTAGGCTTGGCTTGGTCGAGTGATTGCAAAGAGTCGGGCTCAATATCCTCATCCTCTTAGGGTTTAGGGTTTAGGGTTCAGGGTTCAGGGTCCCAGACGAGTAGTTCTCTAAAGGAGGTTCCCTTTTTCTGGGGGTCCCCTATCTAATGCGATGATCATGCAGCACCCTTGTCAGAAGGACACCCCCTAAGACTGGGCCCCAAGAGGGACTCTGATGTAGAGAGCTACCCATGGTTTAGGCTTTAGGGTTTAGGGTTCCAATTGGGGGACTACTTGAAGCACCGGGGTACTGAGCTCGGTTTAGGGTTTAGGGTTTAGGGTTTAGGGTTTAGGGTTTAGGGTTTAGGGGAGGTTATCCTACTGAACCGGACTTTGGGGGGTTTAGGGTTTAGGGTCTAGGGTCTAGGGTTGCAAACTCAAAACCCCTAACCCTAGCGTTTAGGGTCTAGGGTTTAGGGTTTAGGGTCTAGGGTTTAGGGTTTAGGGTTGATAAACCCCAAACCCCAAACCCTAAAGCCTAAACCCGAAGCCGGAAATTCAAGGTTCAGGTCTTGAGATGCTGTGGCCGACCACACCCTGCTTGGGCGCGCGGTTACGCGGAACCCCAATCTACCAACCAGGTCAAGCCTCAAAACCACTTAGCGTTTCAGGGT